TACTTTCAATTTTACTTAGAGTACAGCATTTCAACAACTTAATTTTTTATAATGTGTGTTCCAGAATTATTTATACTAATAAATAGTATGTCAGTGTCTAATTTTGAAATATATTTTTATATCTGTGTAGCTGTTGAATTCTATATTTTATTTAATAAGCGGATAACATGACTTTCTTTGAAGAAAATATCTACCGAAGGATCAACAATCGTCAATAACAGAGATGGACGTGGCAGCTAAAAGTTGCACCCCACCCCGCGCGTGAAATATGGTTGTTTTAGGAGCAATCTTTTTACAGGCACTTTTTAGAGCTAATTTTATTATTATTTGATATCAAAAGTGTTAAATTAACCAATTGTATATAGTTTCAAAGTAGAAAACTATAAGAATAATAGAAAAAAAAACAATAATAAACAATCATATTTTGAAGTTATTTTCCGTATTCTTCAAGTTTCGTTAATAGTGGGGAACTCGAAGTCAGTGAAATAATTTTAGATTCTTTTACACATTGAGTATTACTTAGACAATTCTTAGATGAAGATAACGATGGAGACATAACAAAGTATTATAAGTATCAGGAACGTCTAAAAAATTATTTTCTGTATCACCTTCAATAGTAGTTATATATGAACTGAACAAAAATATACATAAGCTATCATGAAAGGAAGCAAGTTTTAATGGAACATAAGCATTCTGTAAATATTATTAGATAAATAGAAATAGCATCAATTTAAATATGGGTATATGTATGAGACAACAAAAATATGGCTGACTGTAAAATTATCGAAGGAGAAAATGTTGACAAAATAATATCAACATGAAAAATAATCAGTTAATGTTTAAGAGAGTTGTCAATAGTAGAGTGGTTCGTGGAGCAAGAATAGAAGAGAACTCTTTCTCTTAAGCTGCGGTTTGATCTGAGCGGCGAAATTTAAACACAAAAGCAGTGAATAATAAGTAACAGTCACATTTAGTCAGTCGAGATATCAACTGGTAGGTATCGTCATTGAATTAGTGTAAAAATCTTTAGAAAAAAATCTCGAACTCAGAAGTTTCGAAAATAAATATGAGAAAGATGCTGTTTCGCCCTATAAACACTTAGTTTGTTCAATATGAAATGAAAATTAAATGACTTGAATAACTAGCAATCTTACTAATTTGAATTACGAGCCTGGTTCATTTTTATTATATCAAAATGCATCGATAAACACCAAGAAAACGTTGCAAATACAGTCCAAGAAGATAATTTCCCTATGATATAACTTTTTCCACTAATAATGTATAAAAGCTAACTATCAGCGCTGTTTTGTGTGTATGACAACGTATCACTGACAAACGTTTCCTTTTTCTTGCGTTCTTCATTCTTTACAGCAACTACGACATTGTAAATATCCATCATAGATGAAATTTCAGAATTCGAAATGCATGTCTATATCAGAAAATGTCATTGCGTGTAAATTAGAAAAATTATTAAGATTAACTGATTTTAATATTTCATGAACAGATTCAAGGCATTTTTATTTCATTCTTCTTTCTAACATACATTCAACAATTATTCTTGCTGATAAAAAATATCCTCTGTATAAATATTTCGTACCTGCTGGAAGTTTTATGTTTAGTAAAAGTGACTTTTCACACACTCTCCAGTGATATTTGTCTTTACTTGATCATGTAATTGAACAGTGATGTAATGAAAGTATGCTTCTCAAAGAGTCGCTCTTTGCTAAAATATGTAATTTTAGAGGAATACATTAATCCGTTTAATCACAAATGATCACTAAATGCAAAATTCAAATGGCAATTTTGTTAAGCGTGCGCAAAATAGGATGGACAACAAATTAACATCATACTTATTCTCATTGAATTTTGTAGAGGGTGTGTAACAAAAATAAGTTTTATTCTGAACACTTCACAGTTGATGACGAAGCAATTTGTTTCAGTAGAAAAGATATAGCAACAACCACATCAAATACAAGTTTGTTCCACTTGATTTTTATACTGACGACCCCGGCCGAAGAAAACGATCAGTAAACGGTCGTATACGATACAAATACGGCCCGTTTTACGTGCCTTATTTTCCCCGTATAACAGGGGCAGTAATACGGCCGTATGCTCTATAGAATACGATAATATTACGCCGACTTTACGAGGTTTTACGGCTGATATACGGTGTCCGTGTATGGCTGTAATACTGCCCCTGTTAAAACGCCTTAATTCGGCTTAAAACGGCCGTTTTACGATGGAATACGACGCAAAAACAACCGTTTACGGTGGTCCGTTTTGGTCGACCTCGGGAGGGAAGGTCTCCAAGTGATACCAACCATTCGGGTTCATATTGTGCTCATAAGTAGAACCCGGAGAGACTATAAAAAGCCTAAAAGATTTCGTGTCATTAGGCTTTTCTTTCAAAGTTATAACCGCTTTACTAAATTTTCGAGCTTGGACAAGGAAATTATAGAAAAACTGAATGAACGAATTTCGAACTGAAATTTCCCCTAACAATAGGTTTCATCGATGTTAGAAGGTTCCAAAAGTTTCAGTGAAAATGGATGCATCATTTTTGAGATACTGCATATTGATGAAAACGGCCATTTTCCAAAAAAATCTCGTAAAATTGACTTCTCTTCAATATGCAATACAAGGGGGGGGGGGGGCGCGCGGGGCCTGGGGG